CAGAGATGGAATGGGAGAATCACTATTTTCTTCAGTGATGGAAGAGTCTTTGCTTTCCCCAGGAGCAAAGCATTCCTTGACAAAAAGCCAACATGATGAAGAAAATAAAGTTGGTCCCATAATAACATTAAAGCGGCAGGAAAGAAGCTCAACAAAAACAAGTTATCCCTTGGTACTCCCCAACTTTGTTTTAATTTCCCACAGTGGCACAGAAAGGCTCCTGGTCACAAGTTACCTATCATCTTAATTTCTCCTTCTTAGAGGGTTTGTGTTTGGTTTTTGTCCTTAATGAGACATATTTGCCAAAGAGGCATTCAAAAGGCATTTTTTACTCTTGCGGAAGAGTAATTAGGTCGGTACCTCTTTCCCTGCCAGCATGAGCTGCTCTAAAGAGAACCCTGCCCAGTATTTAATGCCCAAACACAAGAACCATCATTTCCACTAATTCAAGCATCATCGGTCTTGAAGTTCCGATGTTCCCAAAGAGTCCCTTTCTTTGTACAAGTATCAGAAAGCACATACGTAAAATGTGATAGCGTCATCGCTGACTTTTGTCTTTCTCTTCTGAACTATTGCCGTTGGTCTTTCTTATGTTTTTGCAACAATCATCAACACAGCACCAACAAAAGGAGCTTCAGAATCAATGATTTGCATTTTCACAACAGGGGTCATCACTGGGCCAAGTTCACATGATGTTATAGCTGTATTTATAAATATGAATAAGTGCACAAAAACACTGCATCTATGAAAATGTGATTGCTTTGATGATGGGAGCCTTTTACTGACAGTATTCACTGCTTGGGGAAAAGGATTGTTTTAGCTTACTGTAGAATATAAAACACAGGGCAAGGGAGAAAAAATGAACTATTCATCAAGTGGAAAGTTGAAAAAGAGTATATACTATTATATACTTTTGACCCACTTCCCCCTTCTTTTCCTCAGTCAGAGAAAGACTTTTGGACAAAATATCACCTAATCTCATTAGAAAGTAAAGCAAATTCTAAAAATCAGGGTGGGTATGTAGCAGAAGAATTTTTACACATTCTTCTTGCTATTCAAAGCCAGGAAATGGCTTAACTAATTACCAAGAATTTCTAAATCCTTTACCACAATGACTAGCCTACATTAATGTCTTTACAAACATGGCAAGACAATTATTAAGCAACAACTTAGCCAGTGAAATTCAGATTGGCCAAATGTGTCTGAGTTGAATAATAAGCTACCTTCTCCTTCCTCAGAGCTCAGTTTCTTTCTGCTGGCTCTTCGTCAGGACTGTACCTTGAACACATAGCTTGAAGCCCTATCATTCTGCAGAGTCCTACCCAAGTGATCAACAAGTTCTGGCTGTGGACTTTTTTGGTACTGAATTGGGAATGTTCCTCTCTTAAAAGAGCCATTTTCCATTGTAGAAACGAGTGTCAAAAGGCTTGAGGTGAATGAAGAGGAGGAGGGGAATGTTAAAGAGACCTTTTCAAAACCAAAATTATATGTTCAAATGAATATGCTTTCTGTGACCCGGCAATATTCAGTGTGCAGAAGCTAAGTTACTTGTCAGCATCTATACTGCATTTTACACTTCATTTAGGAAGGAGCCAGGCTCCCAGACAGGGCAGTCTGCTAACTGGTTGCCGTTTTGAGTCTTTGGGCACCCACACAAGGAGGCAGTGTTTCAGAAGCATGACATTGACTAAGGGACCTTAAATAACAAATACCTGTTATTGACCTCAGAATCACTCATGAGTTTCTGTAGACCTTTTCCATCAAAATTATGCCTGGGACTCTCTCTGACTGAACCCAAATGATCTTTAAAAGTGTCTCAACAAAGTTCATTTTAAATACCATTTAGTATTCAAAGAAGCATGTGTTTGTTTTATCTCCTTCTGGTTTATTTATTTCTGTTTGCCTCTTGTTGGGGTGAATCACAGTGAAAATACTTTTATTCTACTTTCTCTAAATGGTTCTCCAAGCATCTGACATTCAGCGACAAAGACCATTAAAAATGGCGTGTCAAATTGTAGCACAGGTACACACATCACACATCCTTGGAAAACTTTCTGGGATGGCAACCCCAAAATAACGCAAGTCAGGATTGCCAAATAATATGATGTCATTTTAAATGGAATCTCCTCAACTATGTCTCTAGAAATGGCTCCACCCAGAGACAGTGGCACAGATAATGTGAGCCTAGAGGAAGTAGTTCAACCTGTTTCAAAGGGTGTGATTGACCCTCAAATGCCTCTACAGCCACCACCACCACCCTTGCCATACTTAGAGCCGGAGGGAGACCAAACTTCAGTGCAATCTCTGTCACAATGTTCTCATTCCTCACACCCCCAGTCCAGCCTTGTGTCTGGATAGATGGATGGGCCCTTGAAATGGTGCTTCTCACGGGAGCTATTTCATAAACCAGTCAAAGTAAACATAATAACATGGTCAGAGCAATACCCAAACCATATGCAAAAGGAGAAAACAAATCACTCAGCCTTCTGAGTTCCAGGAAGATGAATAATAAAATATTGCAACATAATGAAACACTATACATTGGTCAAACAAATAAATAGGAAAGTCTATTAATGAGACATCTTTTTTGTGTTTGTACTTCTATTTCAGCAACAAGCTCAAATACTTGTGGGCAACATTATAACCTTGTTTGTTTACAGGAGAGATGAGAGTCATTTTATATATAAAAACATATTTAAATATGATGCTCCCAAGAAGTGATTTCCAGCCCCCCAATGGGCCAAAGTCAATTGTCTTAAAAGAAAAAATAAAAATACATAAATAAACCACAAAATATAGATGTAGATGGGGGAATGGCTAATTAATTATATGCCTAGCATATCTATGCTCATTATTGGTAGGCGCTATTGAGCCAATTTTGACTTATTAGCTATCCATGTAACAGAGAAGAAACGCCCCGTAAAATAGGCTAAGTTATAATCTTTATGGGAATAGAATGAAGATTCCTAGATCTTTCTCCTGTTGAGCCACTGGGCGGGTTAGAACTGCCAACCTTTTGGCTAGCAGTCAGGAGCTTAACTATCTCACTGCCAGAGCACCCGTGTGCCTCAATAAGGATGTCCCTCCTCCAGTTCCCACTTGAAGTACAAAATAAAACATTCACCTTCAGCATGTATGCATTTGTGGAACTGGATTAGTCATCAGCTTGTCTCCCTAGAACAATCTTCATATGTCACAGAAATGAGTTTTTACTGGTCTAACTTGGAACACTGATTCAAAGTTTTATAAAGCAATGCCCACTTACAAGTAACGGCTCTTGTTTATTCACACATCTTGGGAACAACAAATGCAAACGCTCAACAATAAAAACATGTGTTAGAGCAAAACTTCTCCAATTCAAAATAGCTATTTTCCTCTTGAACACTTAATTGTTTTGCAGACGACCAACTCTTTGTTGGACTCTTTGAGACTACAAGTTGCTTCTTTTCCTTCCCAGGTGCATAGCTTTATTTTACGAGTGTTTCCTTATGGAGGACCCATTCATTTTCCTTCTTTCATTCTGAATTTCCCTAAATCAGCCATTGGATACTTTCTTAGGGTTCAGTGCCACTCTGAAACACACGGGGTCACCATGAACTGATTCCCTGGCCACAGGTGGTGAGAGTGGCAATCTCTCTATTAGACACTTGGTTTCCATTGTCTTTTTATGCTTGTTTCCTTGACCTCCCCCCAGTAGTGCTGGGTAGTGAGGGGAATGAAGGGTCTCTGCCTTGACAGAAGAAACTTGTCTCAAATGAGTTCATTTCTCCTAAGCCCAGGGACCTTATGGAGTCAAATGCTGTGAGGGAGGACTCAATTGAAAAATGACCCATGCCAACACATTTCTCCTGTGCCCCTTCACATCCAGGTTGATGATGCTCCACCAGTATCTTCCAACCACAGCCAGGCCGAGGAACCAGCATTCATCACGTAGAATCAGAGATTACAAACTCCTGCACATGGGGAATATAGATCCCAGGACGTGACCACTGCAGGTAAGTGAGGCCCCTGCTCTAACCCTCAGATGCAACCTCTAACAGCTTTGAAACTGCAATGGACTAGATCTAGTCCTTCTAAGACACACGCCTTTTATTTTGGAAAAACAAAGGCATATGTGCCTTCCGACTTAGCTGGTGCAAATTGTTGAGTGCTAACTCAGGACCCAGTGCCTGTTGGCCACTTGCAGCCTATTGGAATCAGGAGCCATTCAGAAGAGGGGGCTCACAAGTTTGTTTTCATTAACCCTCACCTCTACCAGAAGCAAAGCTGCTCTTCCGCCAGGCCACACTTGTTGTGACCCTGTTGCCAAAACCCAGAGAGCCTGAGTAGAGTTTTGTGGGGGTTTTTTGGTGGGTTTCTTTTTTTAATTCCCCTTTTCGGTGCTCACTCCCTTGAGCTGCCTTTTCCTAACGCACCTCAGGGAGCCTCAAATCAAGCCAAACATCAAAGCCCCAGTTTCGATTGGGAGCCCACTCTCCCACGTTTTCTGAAATTTCTTAATATTATCCTGTGGTTGTGGTTGTTGATGGTCTTCGAGTCGAGCATGACTCATAGCTACCCTATGAACAAAAGGCCTGACATCCCTCTACAACTATCAACATTGATCAAAGTTCATAGAGTTTCCAGAGGCACGAAATTTAGGAAGTGTTAATCCTACTGAAACAAATATCAAGACCAAAATTACAGCAAGACATTTATGGTGATCTTCCTCAGAGAGGACACACACCCCCCCCACACACACACATGCACCACACAGAGGATCCTGCACACACACACACACACACACACACACACACACACACACAAGATCCTGAAGATGCAATAATACCTGTCATCCCAGATCTACCCTGCTTGGCAAGTGTAGGAAGTGCTCACAGCCCTCACTTGACCACAGCCAGTAGGCTCCCAGCTAGCCTTCCGCAGTTCCCATCCCTGTGTCCCGGGGGTCTCCAGTGCCCCGTGGCCCAGCCCCTGGCCCCGCTGACCCCGCAGAGGCTCACCTGCTTGTAGGCGTCCAGGAGGAAGCTCTTCCAGACGCAGCGCAGTCCCTCTGAGGTCAGCATGCGCCGCCACTCTCCCCGAGTGGACTTGGAGCGGCTCAACAACAGCACCACGTGCTTGAGGAGAATGACTGAGTCATAGAGCGCCAGGAAGAGGCAGTTGGAGAAAAAAACTGGCAGAATTTGCAGTGTGATCAGCAAGTCTACGCTGAGGATGCCCATCTTCTCTGCCTCCTCAGTCTGTTCCCTTGTGCGCTCCGGCTCCCCTTCACCCTTTTATTTAAAAGGGGGGTGG